TAATATCAACTTGATAGGTAAAAAATCATGTTTTAAACGATTAAAACAATTTTTTTGATTTTTTTAAAAAAATCATGCTTTTAATCAACTCTGCTACCTACCTACATTACACTAGACACTCGAAATACGATAGTATCTAATCGTATCTATGAATTGAAGAACCAGAATCAAAAGTACCTATAATGGAAATATAATACAAATTTATTTTTATCAAAATCTGAAACATAGATTTATGATTTTAAATTAAACAAATTGAGAAATATTTAGCGGGCAGCAGTAAATAGTTAGTCAGGTGTCCGATAAATGAAAATTGTTTTAATGGTTACGGTAAATTGTTATCGTACCTACCTAGGTACCTATATAATAAATATATTTATTATTTATAAGTTATAACCAATGGTTCATTTCCCACAATAATAGTTTTAAATGCTTAATTATAATAATACAAAATAAAATTGATATGTATCAGTGTTACATACTCACATACCTACTATTTAAATTTTAAATGATTAAAGAATATTTCTAAGATACCTAAGTATTTTGTGGAGTATTATAGTAAAAAATAATCGACATTTTATGCAATTATTATAAATAATCTAACCGTAATAATCATTGATAGAACATCCGCAAATATGAACATAGGTTACCAATATTTTGTTATATCAGTTTTAATCAAGAATTTTGTTTGTATTGTTTATCTATATAATTATATTTATGATTAGCTGATCCCCTGCACTTCGTTTCCCGTTAAATGTACCAACTCTATGTAACTCAAACTTTGTTCAATTCGTTATTTAATATTCGGTGTATGGTGTTTAAAATTAATCTTAACTTTTCTGTTGCCCGGAATAAAAATTCTGATTCGCAGCAGTATATTATCAGGTAGGCAATCTACCTGCGGTAGATCGCGGACTGGCCGTGCTGTTTTTACGTATAAGTGTATATGATTTAACTCTAAAGTATCAAAGTTATATCAAGTTTGTCGTATTTTTGTTTCCTTAATACGTTGTAATTGATTATTTCGACGATGTAAAACAATATCACGTGACTCCAAATTTTGATAATTAATTTGATTCGTCGTAATTCGGGTTCTTTTGCCTAAATTTATCCGCCGCCTTATAGGAGGCATATTTAGTAAGTCACAAACACACAACACTTTTTTAATTTTATAGACATTTTTGGCTTTTAGATTTAGAAATATTATAGACGCACAGCAAAGATACGTTTACATTTTACCACAGATAATTTACATTTTACCATATACCTACAACATACCATTGTTTTTGAGTAATTAAGTGATTATATGTTTGCGTTATGACATAGTTATTTGCTTAGCAACACATTCAGCGATTCATTTTTATATAATAGATTATAGATATATATTATATTAAGATATATATATAGACAAAAATAATAATCAAATCAACAAACATGCCCGATAAACCAATAGCAACCAATATATAATACACTGTTGTATTTTTTACATCCAGATTTCCAATTTTTCGGTGGATTTTCCTAAAATTTTCTTTCGTAAAAACCTCCTTCTCCTGGCAATTACGAACATCTTAAAAAATTTGAGCCTAATCGGTCCGGCCCTTCTCGAGTTTTAGTTAGACTAACGAACAGCAATTAATTTTTATATATATAGATATTGATACATATCGTACCTACTATTATTATTTATTACTATTATATTACATAAAAGTACAGGGTGTCCCGTGACGATATACCCATTAGCTGTAGAGTGAGACCCGCCGGCCGGACAAACATTGTTTTTTGCCATATTATCTATAAACTAAAAAAAAATATTAAAAATCATGAGATTAATGAATATAAAATGTTGAAAAGACAAAATTTTCCAAAAGTAAATCCTAAAAATGGCTATCATCGATCGTTTCAAAAATAAAAAATTAATTTTATTAACTTTTTTACCAAAAACTAAAATAAAATAAAATATGTGTGGTCCTTGTCTCTGAAAGTCAAATAAATAAAACAGATTTATGATACATTTATTATCTCAGGAGATATCGCAATGGGTATCAATCCTCACGGGACACGCTATAGTTATAACTTATATTGTGCGACTGTAGATTTTCTTCTTTTTTGATTCTGAGCGAAATTTATTTATTAATGATGTTTTTTTTTTTTGAAAAATGTTGTCTGATGCAGGGGCGGAGTGGGAACCAAATCCAGGCCGGGAGCTTAAAATTTATCCAGGCCACCCACCAAAATTTTTTTTTTCGCCAAGCTCGAATTTGATTTTTCTATTTACCTATTTGAAAACTACTTTTAGTAGGTATTATAAAATTATTTCAATCACTATCTTGCTATTCTTTTTAACTTCCGTCTTCTAACACATTATATTAATACACTAAGTACTTATTCCTGAAAGTCTGAAAAGTAAAATTAGTAGGTATGGTTTAATAGTTGAAATCAACGAAATATTAATAATTATATTATACATTGTGTTTTAATTGTTTAGGTATAGTAGATATAAGGTAATAAGTAATAGATAAATACATACATTGTAAACAATATATAATAAAAAAGATTTATACATTCATAGTAATAATTTAGATAATAGATTAGATTTCTCACCAACTGCATTTATGATAATATTGTTATCTATTTCCATGATAATTTTATTTTCAATGGCCATAAGCATAAAGACTCAAGATAATCATTGGTCATTGAATTTCTCAGCCTGTTTTTTAAATACTTCAATGTTTAAAATTGGTGTTTTATTATAAAAAATAACCGACCTATATCTTCAATATTATATTGCTTTGATTTTATTTGATGTCTATATTTATGTATTATGTATCAAATATTTTGTAATTTTATACCCAAAGCTTTCTCATAAAAGTATACGATTGTACGAGGCTATCACAATGTACTATTATTGCATTAATAATATTTGTAAATTGCAATACAATAATTTAATAGAAACAAACATTTAGCATTAACTAATATTTTGTAAATTAAATTAAATTTAAAAAAAATCTAACAAAATGGCCAGGCCACCAGGCCATACTATGGTCCAGGCCATCTGGAAAATTCCCATTTCCAGACCGGCCACTCCCCCCCTGGTCTGATGTCATTATAAAAAGCATCAAAAAATCTTCCACTTACATTTTCTTTTCCGGTAGCAAATTTAATTTAGTTAATATTTAAGAATTTTAGGAATTTTTAAGCAACAGCCAACAACACCATTGTTTTACAAAATTGTAAGAACACCTTTCCGGTGTTTGTTCTGGCGGCGGGTCTCCCTCTACGGCTAACGGGTCACAGGACACTCTGTATATCTATGTAATATATATTCTGTAGAGTAGGTAAAGACAAAAGTAAAAGTTGGACTATATTAAAAATATTGGTCTAGTTGGAGTCTGCATGCATGTTAAATATACTGGCCTAAAACTACTTTAATGTGTACTAGTGTAGGTACACATAATAGGACGTCACACCTGTATAATATGTTATATCTGTCTTAACTAATACATATAATATATCTCTACCAAAATTACGTCTAGAAGTTCCAATTTTGTGTTGTTAGCTCAATTATTTTAGAGGTAATTATAGTTAACTTAAACGTAAAACATCATCTGTGTTCTCTCGTTGTTTTTTAAGAGAATTATGAGCATTATTTTTAAATATTTAAATTTAACATAATCATAACTTATTTAAAATTTAAAATAACGTAAAAATTCAAAGAAGGAATACAGATATTACCTATTGGCTATTACCTTTGAGAGGACGTGCTACCCGCATGTAGCCATCGAATGAGTACTTCTTTAAACATAGAAATACTATATTAATTTGTTGTACCATTAAGAAGACGTGATATCCGCATGTGTTGTACTATTTTCTCCGTCTTAAAAGTGAGTAACATAGCAAATTTTACGCTCGGCATAACACGTGTAGAACGCGAGTTATGAGTATTTTAAAATTGTAAATTGTTTGTACATCCTAAAATACTTATAACTCGCTTTAAAATTAATATATATGAAAGAACCCATGAGGTTGCCTAGATAATAATCTTACCTTTAGATTTTATAAGAGGTCAATTCGCTCTAATTTTTAAACTAAAGGAGCTACAAATGTTCGGCTGAGCGTAAAATTTGGTATGTTACGCACTTGTAAGACGGAGACAACACGTCACGGGTATCACATCCTGTTAAGGGGTAAATAAGATTTTTACAGACACCAGCCCAGATTAGCATGCCACATTGCATTATAGATTGGTATGAAGAAAGATAGGTAGTTTATTTCGTCAAAGTATGAGGTGAAATTATACTTGTCAATTTACACAATTTAAAAATTATAGAGCGCAACTTAATTATTAAATTATTTATATGCAGATTCTACTTAAGAGGACGTGCTACACGCATGTGTTGTTTCCGTCTTACAATTAATGTACAACATAGCCAAAAACTGTTTTGCGGCTAATAACTTTACTCTCTCTGTATTTATAGTAGAATTACCAAAATTCCACAACGCACAGGGAAGGACTTTATCTGTGGCGAAGCGTTTTAAGTACCTATAGTCAGTATTGACTTAATAAGTTAATGATAATAATAATATTATATAAATATGTATAATAATATAATCATATATTATGTAACATGATAAAATAATAAGTGACGTTTTTGTTGAAAATTAGTTCATCATAGAATTAATTTATTACTAAAAAAATATTCAATTTTATACGTAGCGCCCAGCACCCAGTATCCTTGTGATATACAACTGATAAATTTACAAAGTATGTTCTACTCCCACGACATTAATCCAGTTCCTGTTTAGTTATAACAGGAAGGAAAATAAAATAAGATAATAATATTCAATGGTCAAACATTTCATTCAATTATGAGTTATAAAAAATTAAATAATTATTATTATGATACATTATGTTACAAGTAAACATTTGTGTAAATTAAATAGTTTTTAAAAATCTATATAAAATGATTTATAGCAAGTTTTATTTATTGTGGTATGTTATCCTGATGTGTGATTTTTTAAAGGTAATTTCAGTATGGAATTGTTAATCTATTTTATTCTATCAATTTTTATTTGTTTGTTATTGTTATGTAATAAAACATAACATAGGCACATAGGTATTGTTTTTAATAAAATAGTATATAAATAACAATTTAAATTGTTAAAGCAATTCATTCTTAACTTCAAAATAAAATTGTAATAGTTAAATACTTAACAAGGGTTTGGGCCTTGTTGCACTAAAAATGATCGTAATATAAAGTCAAAATAAATTGTCAAAATATGCTTAAAAATATGAAGCTAATTTTTATTTTTATTTGAAACATGCATATAACATATTACAATTTTAGAAATTAAAAACTCGAAAGTAAGTAGGTACATATATTAAGCAAATTCAAAATAACTATATAACATATAATAATAATTTATACACTTATTTGCTGATTTTAAAATAATATATTATTAAATACTGGCAATTTTGCATGTTTTGGGAATTTTTGAACCATGATCAAATAAAACAAATTATTTTTTTTTTTTAAAAAGGCACATTCACTGGGTTGAGAAATAACAAATAACGTGATATGCAAACACCATGATATGCAGACACATATTTATTGATTTTCATTTCTTCGTACAATCTAGAATCTAGATGTAATTAAGTTTTACCACATTATACAATTGTTGATATTGCCGATAACAAAGTGTCCATGTTAATTAGAAACTCATGAAATCTAAAGTACTTACCTACCATATGAACAAATAAGGGGGGAGATTTAAGGACCAAGCCACCACTAAAAATTTCAATAATCCTCTTAAACATTTCCTAAAATTTTTTTTTAAGCTTTTTGAATATTATAATAGAAAAGCTTTTATTATTTTCACCTATTCTACCTATCCAAATATAATTTATTTTAAGAAATATTTTTGAATGTTATCCAAATACCTATGTTTTTTTCCGACAATTTTATGCACATGAAAATGAAAAAAAATAAAAATATGCACAAATATGCTAAAAATAAATATGCACTTTTCCTAAAATATGAAAATATTTGCAAATTAAAACTTTGTATTTACTATTGCCATTTCATAAAAAAATGCATAACTTACCTAGAATAATCTACAAAAACTACAAAAAAACAAGCAATTGCAAGAAGTCCTAAACCTTACTTTTACAGTACCTAATCCCGAAACCTTTATTCATGAACAGGGATAGGAACTTTATGTATTTGCATATTTTCTCGGAAGCTGCATATTAAAAATCTGATTCGATACAAATTTGTATGTTGCATATTTTTGCATGTTTGACTAGGTTTACATGATTATGCATATATAAAGATTTTAAGCATATTAATGCATATAATGTTAGTAAATCATTGATTTATAAAGTTTTAAAATAAAGAGCCATCACACTTAGTCGCTTTGTCTATATTTTAAATTATATACTATACCAAAAATTTATTGCAAAATATTGACCCGGTAAAAACAATCTAATCATTCAATGTAATGCAAGTAAATATTATATACTTAATAATATGATTTAAGAGGATGCTACACAGATATTTGTTGTCTCTATCTTACAAGTGCTTAACATAGCAAATGGTATGCACTTGTAAGACAAAGACAACAAATGGCTGTGTAGCGTCTTCTAATATTTGCTGTATTTGATGCATTTAAATTTTTATATTTAGAACTGTGAATAGTCAACAAATGTTTCAAGTTCTACAACCCAAAAATAAAATAATATACCTAAATTTGTACATAATTAAAAATGAATTATTCATTTATTAAGTTTATTAAGATATATAAATACATGTTTTTTTTTTTAAAAAAACTGCATATTGTACTGCATATTTAATTATATTTTAGCACACAAAGTTCCGAGCCCTGTTCATGAACATAATTCTATTCATTTATAATGTTATAGGTAGTAAAACCAAATCTTAACCACATTTCTATTTTTATTGTAATATTCAAACAAATTATAAAACCTAATGTTAACTATTTAATTTTAAACATGCAAACTTGATTTATTCATAAAATACTAGTGTATTAGGTTATTGATAATATATTTTCCATACTTTAAAATGCATTAAACATTTTAAGAATTATTATAAAAAAATTATTGTTAACTTTAAAATTAGATCCAAATGTGATTAAAAATATTAAATGTCTTAGAATCATACAATTCTTTAATACATTTATTTGAATTATAAAATAATATAGATTTTATAAATATATTTATTATGTTGAAATGTTTCTTAATAAGACAATCTAACTTATTATATTGGATATAAATGAATAATTGTTAAATCTTTCTAAATCCTGTAAAAGTGTTTATTGGTTATTTAATTTTTAATGTAAATTATGAGAAATAATTTCCGAAATTCCTTTAGATAAAATAGTAAATGGAGCAAATATTTGTTAAAATTTAAAAATTCATAATAATTGTTATCTTTTATTTGGACTAATCTCAAACACTTTACCTATAAAATAACATAAAATTTTTATGTTTTACATTAACTTATAACTTTTTTCTGTTTTAGACTGTATTGTATATGAAATTAAATTACGTTTTGCTTACCTTATTAAATACAGTAACCAAAATTAAAGTTAATGAACATTCACCTATTTTTTATTATAATATGCTTGTTAAATCAATGTTTTAGCATAAAAACAATTATTAGGCAATTTTTTTTTAACTCTCAATTTCTTCTAATGCATCATATTTGTATCATTAGAATGTTTAAAATTTAAACATTCAATAGCTTTAATATAACAAAACCAAAAATTATCTTCAAAAATATATAAATACCTACCAATGTTTGTTAATGAATTCATTTTTGTATAATAAATTACTTTTATTATACATTATTGAATAATAATTTTAAATACATATATTCATTTTTTATAATTGTTATTATAGAATTCATATGCTACTTTTATGTTGGTTATAAATTATAATTTTGTAGCAGGTACAAAGTTCTGATATAAATTTAGAATGGGGAAAAGATTGTCCAAGAGCGTGTAACTGTAAGAACACAGATTTTATAGACTTACCGATAGTTAAATGGATGTATAACGGACTACAAACTGAACTAGAATCACATACCTCAAATACACAAAATGAAGTAACAAGATACAATTGTTTAATAAATACTTAAATAATTTTACAGATTAATAAAATCCAATGCTCTTAATTAAAGGTTTTTGAAGAAAATGAAGAAGAACAAATAGCTTATAACAATACACAATTTTTCAAAACTGCCTTATGTATGTTTATGAATGTAACAAGACCAAAAGACTTTTTAAATTTTCTTCCATTAGACACTGAGGTAAGTACATATATTATAGTGTTCAATGAATTTCCGCGTAAAATTAAAACTATAGCTTAATGCCATTTAAGTTTAAAAAAATTCATTAGAAAAGAATAAAATAATTATTAATTTGGTACATGGTAATACGTAGAGAGCGGATTTGTATGCATTTGCATATTTATTCTGGTTGAACGTATGATATACTAAGGGAGCACACAATTTGTTTCATGACATAACGATTTAAAAATTATACTTTTTAAAACTACAATTTTAATTGCATATTTCATCTTTAAGTGCATATTCTGATGTATTATTTTGATTTTTTTTGGACATTTTTAAAATATATATTATTGCAATATTTATAAAAGAAAAAAATATTATATTTGTATAGTTTCAATTAATATCAAAATAAATTAGTAGGTATATACTTGTAAGTTATAGGTATAAATGGTTTTCTCAAATATTTTTTATACTAATTGATTCCTATTTTCTTCTTATAAATTAAAACTACCTACAAAATGATGAAAGTAAAGAAAACTATAAAGAAAAGTATTTATAGTAGGGTTCCATAGTTTTAAATATATTGTTTTAATTAAATGTTCAATAAACACATTTTTTTTTTTTTTTTGCTTATCTTTCTATGCATATTTTTTATTTCTCATGTATATTTTAACATTTTAGTGCATATAATTTTATGCATATTTGATTGGTTTTTAATGCATATCAATCCGCGCTCTATTACTAATATGGAATAATAAATTGATGAAAATGTCAATGAGAAGTAATTACAATATAGTACATTAACATTCTTTCAAATTAATATCATTAAAACTTATAATTTTGGTTTGATCTTATATTTCAACTAATAGTTAAATTTCAAACATATAATAATAAATTATATTAACATAATAAAATGTATCTATGTATTTTTCAGGCACTAATTTTATTTCAAACAACTGATTCAGACAATATTACAATAGAAGATGATATAAAGCTGCCAAAATTAATTTCATTCGAAATTCATGGCAATAATAATAAAACAAAAATCTATATTACAGATAGAATATTCAAATATATGGATAATATAAAATATGTAAACATTCAAAGTGTATCATTAGATAAATTAACTTTAGAAAGTAATGAACCAATTCCAATAATAGACACTAATGTCTATAAAAAAGAAAATTCATATGCATTTAATGAACTTTCACCAGTATTACCTTCGTATTTACATAAAGAACATAATAATATAAAAAACCGTTTGATATTTTTACAGCCCAAAGATATTGACATGGTTCCTTATGAAACATATAAGAAAACTAAAAGAACAGCAAAATCGAATAGCTTATTTTTAATCAATAAAGATTTGTTGTTTTTAAGAATTACAAATTGTGGTCTAAAAGATATATCTTGGGATTTATTTAATGGATTGGATTCATTGGAAACCCTTATTTTAGACAACAATGCTATTGAATACATTCCAGATTTTTCTTTTTATGGTGCTAGTGTACTAAAAAGATTATCTTTAGCTAATAATAAAATTAAATATTTGCAGACTACTGGTTTAGCTGGACTTCTTGAATTGAATTATTTAAATTTGAAAAACAATGCTATAACTGTATTATCAGAAACAACATTCCCACCATTGCCAAAATTAAAAGTTGCAGATTTAAGTGAAAATCCAATTGAAATGGTATATCCACATACATTTGAAGTACTAAATGCTACTATAGAGCTTACATTGGGAACAAATAACAAACAATTACATTTACATAAAAATGCATTTATTGGTTTAGATTCTTTAGAAAAATTGAATTTAATTGGTGTAAATGTGACAATTTTAGAAAGACCCTTTATGATTGGACTTCCTAATCTCGTGGAACTTAATATCAAAGGTTCCATACAACATATAGCTTTTGATGCATTTGTTGAAATACCAAACATTAAACGTCTCTCAATCAGTAACTGTTCAATACAATCTGTGTCTATGGATTCGTTTTACGGAATTTATAATTTAGAACATGTAGATTTGTCTTATAATCAACTGCAAGAATTGCCTCCTGGATTATTTGATCAACAATTGTCTCTCAAGGAATTAATTCTAAATAACAATCAACTGATTGATTTACCAGACGATATATTTAAAACAACATCTAATCTTAAATTAATACGATTAGATATGAACTCACTACACTGCACATGCAAGATGAAATTGTGGGATATTTCATTAATGACTAAAATAGCAAAAGAAATGAATAAGCAGTCTTGCAAATGGAAACATTCAGAGAAAGGATATAGCTGTAATATTGAAAGAACAACTACATATATTTATAACAAAAAATTAGAACCAATATGTTCAAGTCCAACAAAATTAAAAGGAAAGACAGTTTCATATGCTTTGAGAAAGTATATGAATTGCAACAGTGAACTTTACATGAAGAAAAAGTATAAAGAATTAAAACTTTATAAACAAATAAGTGAACAAGATATCAAACAAAATACTGCAACAGTAAAGACTAATTTTTCTGATTTTATTTTAAATAACACAACAACCAACAGATATACATCACCAAATAAAATGTTGGAAATTATTGAATCAACCCCAGAATCAATAATCAATGATAAAGTATACATTACTACGGAAAGAAGTATACTTTTGGACAATGGGACATATATAAGCAAATTATCATTGAAAGAAGAAATTGCCAAAATGAAAAGAAAACATAAAGTAAAAAATTCTGATTCTAAACTTGAAAACAAATTATGAAATTAATATTGAAATACTCACTATTCATTTAAAAAATAATATACATTATAATATATTATTTAAATATCTGTAGACTACCTATATATTATTTTTAAAGAATATTAACAACAAACAATAAAAACTGTACCAATTTTAAATGCACAGTAATTGTATGCTTAGTATTTTTAATATAAATGGTATAATTGAAATTAATTACCTCTAAGTAATGTAGCGCATGTTCCTTTGTATAAGCTTTTTATTCCACCTTCAGTGTACAAGTTTTTAATAACACTGATTGGGCCATCATATTTTTGGTTACCCAATTCCTGTACTTGTAAAATACATTTAATGCGTTCTCCGGGTACCATTATGATTGCTGTAAAAATACCAGAAAATGCTCCAGCACAAAATAGTCGTGAGGGAGTTAAATTTTCTTTTTTATCTCCAGTGGATGAAAACATTTTTTTCCCCAGTCCAAATCCTAAGAAACTTATAGCAAATATTGGAGCTACACCAGTTATTGGAGCTGCCATACCTAAAAAATAAATATGTTATATATTATGTAAGCTAATTAAAGCAAGAATATGCAAGAAAATAAAAATATTAATATACTAAAATTACTAAAATTATGATTAGAATTTTAAGCTTAACATTTAGTTAATTTTGTTAAGAGAATGTCACACTTGGAAGAACTTAATCTGTTTTGAGGGATTTTCATTTATTTCATAGCACTAACCAATAATTTTTAAATTAAATAAACCTTATGTTCTAAAACTGATAACTTTAAATGTATTTATGTTATCCAAATAATAAAAACACCATGATATAGATAAAGTTCTTCTCTGTGTTGTGGAATTTTGGTAATTCTATTAAACAGATTGAGTATAATTGTGCCCCGCAAAACTGTTTTAGCTATGTTGTTCATTTGTAAGTCGGAGACAACACATGCGGGTGTGACACCCTCTTAATTATTATTATTGATGGTTACACAAATATTCAAATATGTAGCATCTGCATTCTACTTTGTATTTTTGAATTCATGTGAAACATATTATATAATATAATATATCATATTTTATAATTTTGTAAAATTTTTTATATTCATATTACATGAAAAACTAAAGTAAAATGTAAAAAAAAAAAAAAAATGGCTGATAGATAAGTTTAAGAAGATGAGTTAGATTAGGTATTTTCAATTTTAACATTTTTCAAAAGTCATTGTACAATATCACACTCTATCAAGAATATTGAACATTTATTTATGAAATTTGTGTAATAAAAGTGGTTAATTACACAAAATCCAATGATTATAATTAACTTATAATTATAGAATGTGTCCCGTGAAGACGTGACCGACCGGCGTCATATGAAAGTATACCTGAAGTTATGAAAAAAAGGGTGGGTTTAACTTTTTATTTATTTAGTTAAGGGCAGTTCAACTTTTTATTAAAAAATACACAACCTGCTGGCAAATTTGCTGATGTACTTATCATCAAAACATTTCAATTTTATATCGTAATTTTTTTAAAAGTTATTTTATTGTCCTAATATTTTTGTGTCTATTTGTGTAACATACACCATCAAACCAGAAACATACAAATATTTTTATTAAATTAAAAAAAGTTTAAAAAAATTAGCATTTTTGAAAGAAAATTCTAGATATCTAGCTCCAAATAACGCCTTCCTGGACAACGAGTTTAGATGAGGCATGTACTCACAAATAAGTAACATTTAGGAAAACAAAATGTTTAAGGTATTCTAGGTATTATTCTGGAGAATGAAATTAAAATAATTTGTATATTTCTGGTTTGATTGTGTATGTTATTTAATTGAAAGCAAAATAAAATTGATAAAAAGTTGGAAATTTGAAAAGTGTTGAAGACACATTGTATGCTGCAGTACCTTGGTATTTGTCATTACGAAACAGAAATAGTTGTATAATAAACAATAGTAAGTGCTCAATTTGGGAGATGCACAGAGAGACAAAACTTCTCTACTATATTATTTATTTTGAAAACTCCCATACTATTTATATTCACATATGACATACATATGACAACATTTTTTTTTTTAAATAAAATACTTCATCAACAAATCTACATTTATTTTATTAATCTTTTATTAGGTTATAAAAAGTTATATTTCATCAGTAGGATAATATAGTAGTCACATAAGACCCAATAATAAGCTACAATTGATACTAGTCTTAAAACATCTACAAAATATAATATTCATTGCAATAATTCACTAATCTCTAGCAATAAAATCATATAAATAATTTATTTATGTTATTGGGTAGGTAATAGGAACCTATAATATTTCTATATAACAGAATAAATAGAAAAATTATTATCTTCATAATTTAACACCTTAATAATAATAACTATTACTTACATTTAAGAAATAATTTTACTAAACTATTTATACTCCATAAATAAACTGATTATGTAATATTGTTTGATTTTTTAAATGCAAAAACTTTTTAAATAAAAAACATCATTAAATTGTTTTTTTTCTATTATGTTATAAAATTTGTAACTAATATTTAAAGTTTTCCAACAGTTAAGAAATATTGATGGATTTTAAGATATATCATTTGTAATTGAAAATCCATAATTGTAGGTAGGTATTACAAATATTTCATTTAAATTTGGTTTAATAACTTTAGTTATGTCTAGGGTTCGGATTTGAAGGCAAATGCCTTTCTTTTATTAATCATAATAGAAAAATAATTTTTATACAAAAATGTGTTTCATTTAATTTCTTAGAGAATGGATCTTTTTTTTTTTGCCTTTTTTTGCCTTTTTACTTATAAATGCCTTTTTTTTACCTTTTGTTTATTTTGCATTAAATTAACTGGTATAACTCAAGTAAGTTAATATTTAAAATTGTTTTTAACTAATTCTTAGGACAAACCTGGTTAAAGAAAAAGGTACCTAATCTATTTATACAAAATACCATAAACTTACTGTAGTTTAGTATTCATGCTCATTTTTAATTTGTATTTTTCTCAAAATGTGTGCATTTAAAAGTGTTTAAAAAATGTTCACTATTTTATTTTGTAGTATATTTATGAATTGCCTTTTTATATAAATTAAATGCCTTTTTTTACATTTTAAATGCTTTTTTTATTGATTATATTGCATTCAAATCCGAACCCTAGTTATGACTTAATTCTGTATCTATAAATATTTTTTTTTTAGAATTTAAACAGATAAAATATAATATATTTACATTCAAACAACTATTTATAAATTGTTACTGTTAATGTTAATAAAAAAATGATTCCTTAAATTTCAGATATTATATTTGAAAAACATTTTTTAAGCATAATAGGCATATATACATAAAAAAAATCTGAATAGTACTTTAATTTAATAAACATTTATAGTAATGTTTCTTATTTATGTTATTATTTAAATTTCATAATAAACTGATAACTAGTATACCTAGGTGTTTTACAAATAATAAAATAAATACAAAAGTAGAACATAAACCATTTCAACTTGCTTGGTGGATCAAAAAATAAATTAACAATTTTAACAGAATTAACATTAAATAAAAAAATAATTTTGATAAATATATATATATTTTATATATTTAATTAAAAAATATTTGAAGGGGTACAATGAATTTAATTTTGTTTTTGTATTGGTACATAAAATGTGTTTGTAGAGCGGATAGTAATTAGTATGTTGAGTTTATTAAGTGGAATTTTGGCTAATAACTCAGGACAATAAATTATATTATTTAATAATGTATATAAGAAAAGAATATGATTATTAAATTACCTATCTTCGAGAGATTGAAGGTTTAGTTATTTAGCTTATGTATTAGATGAAGTGACAATCTTCCCTAATTTGTAACCAATCATACGAAGAAAACAATTTGGTACTTTTACGATTTATGAAATTTGACATATTGATAAGGATTCCATATTAGCCGAATTCAACTAATGATCGTACCAATGAGCAATATAAAGTTTTCAAACAAGTAGGGTTGTTAAATTCTCTAGAGTTACGTTTTAAGAAACCAAGCAATTGTATTGATTTGTTGTAGATGAGTGTAATATGTTCATTAAACATTAAGTCACTGGATATAGTTATAAAATGTCTTTGATATGAGATTTAATATTTAGCTTGGTGTCCCCAATAAAATAATTAAAAGTCACTCAGGGGTGACCGCAGAGAGTTCGCCGTTGGGACTAACCCACTGGGATTTTTTTAATGAACAAAAAAGTCAGTGTATATTAATGTATATATATGACTACCTATGTATGTATAACAAAAATTTAATTTTGCACCCACTGAGCTGATTTTCTGCAGGTGCTCTTGAAGTCACTTGATTTTTACGTTTAGTAAAGGTAATTTGTGATCATTTTGGTACATTATATCTAAAGAATTATTAGGACAACTCTTTATAAATAAAGTAGGTCATTTTGTAATTTCTTACAATCATCAATAGAATTAGTGTTTAAATATGATTTTAAATCATCCGCAAATAATATACATCTACAATAGATAAATAGAATAATACAGAGATCATTAATAAATATAAATTATTCATAATTAAATCAAACAGTAATTTTGTTGGACACAATACGCTCCTTTAACATTGTCTGTTATAGCATATTATTTTACTGAAACTTAAATAATTTGATATTCTACTTTCACTGCATGAAATATGTGGTATTCTTACCTTTATATAAACCAAAAAAACCTTCTCTCTTAATAGTTTTAACTGCACAATCCCAGGCACCATTGTAAATAGGTATTTTACCTAACTGAGCTGGTGGCATCGTTTGTAATCTAACCTAAAAGTAGATAGTAAAACAGTCAGAAAGATAGTAAACTTCTTAATTTAATATATATTATATACCTTGCTAGATACATAAATAGTAAACATATTTTTTTTTATTAGTAGATAATACACAATAAATAGTACATCAAATCCAAAAAAAATACTGCACACGATAAGCGATGTTGGTTAATTTTTGTAAAAATATCTTTAAGTAATATAGTAATTTAGTATCTTTAAGTTAAATAATGATTATAATAATATTAACTTGCAGAAACAATTTTTTTACCAAATTCCTCAAACAGATACACAAACAGATAAATTAAGATGATTACGACAAACCATTTTCTTGGACTATTTATTACACATTATCTTATACATATTTAATTGTATTTATGATGGATAATATACATATAATATTAAAGGTATATTTCTTATAAATTAAGAACTGCGGTACTAATTTATCAGAGTTACAAAACAGATTAAAAGGCCTAAAATATCATCGGTCACATCTGTAATTCATGTAAGCACACTCTTATGAATGTACCAAAAGTCAAAACCTATTATCAAATACTTTCACTTTCAGATAAAAGTGTATTTTTAATATGTTCACACATTACTTATTGGCAAGTCGCGTGAAGTTCTTGTTAGCCTAACACAATCTGACTTATAATAGTTCAATAACAGAATTGATTGTTGTTAACATACTTTAATAGTGTCTAATGGATGACCCACTAACACTGTGCACACACCACCGAAACCACCAGCTAGAAAATACTTGAAGGGGTTAGTATTCCCGTCAGCGGACATATTAACGGCCAATTAAAGTACAGCAGTCTTGTTTAAATATAAAGAAATGAGTTAAAAAAATATGTGAGTGAAGCAATAAAATATTTAATTATTAAATAACCAAATTTAAATTTGAATTTTTTGAAACAGGTTGTATTGACGATTACAGCTATCACGTTTTGATATTATCAACAATGTCATAATCACTTGGCGAGTTTTCAAGGAGGTAACGAAAACAATCGGTTTGCAGGCAGCTGTCTGTTTACCACACGGGTTATATATCATAAACCACGGACTAAGATATACAGGACTGGACACGACAAGGTTGGAGGGTGTGGGGGGGTTGACTACGAAATGTTTTACAACAGGCAGTGTTCGGGGGGATATTTTCCTTTTAGCATTACTAGCGCCGTCCTAGTGGATACTTATGGAACTAGAACACATCATACAAATTTCTAGTTCCATAAGTATCCACTAAGACGGCGCTAGTAATGCTAAAAGGAAAATATCCCCCCGAACTCCGCCTGTTGTAAAACATTTCGTAACCACAATATTCATCTCGTGTCCAGTCCTGTATATCTTAGTCCGTGTCATAAACCATATTATCTATATCTGTGCTGTTTACTGATACCACAGCACACATTTTATATCACTTCAATTTTTTAAACACAGATTACAGAACAACATGATGACTTGAACAATGCTGCAGTGCATAATATTAAATATACCGCGTAATATGAAAATTTTGTTCATCGCTGAAACGATTAAACGATTAAACGAACATAGACTTATAGGCAATAAACTAGTTTATACTTTTTAGAAACCAAACATTCCTATTTAAACTTCTTCATCGTTTTGGTTTTATTTATTCAAGCCTTAAAATAAGGTATCGACGGATCGAGAAAGTCAAAGGGTATGGCTTTTGTAATTTTCAAAGTCATTGGTTGAATGATGTTTCAGTTATAAGTTACAACTTATTACCAACAAATAATCCATATTTTAGTAGTAATTTTATACCATTTCGTCGGCCGTAGTCGACGTGACGGCGGTACTTCACTCACTGCCCTCGAATGTCGTATGAGTTGTCGCAGTTTCGGCCGCTAGACACATGCCTCGAAACACTTGTCAGTCGTCGCCGGTCTTCATTCAGATTTAGTATCGCGTTTGAGCGTGTTTGTACTGAGTTACAGGAGTTACAGGTACAACTTTGGTGTAGGTAATATACTAATATTAATACCAAAATAACTAATCTACGAATAAGTACATTACCAACCACAACACGTACAGTTAATGCCAAATTTTATAGGTACTTTAAACTTATTTTGTTAAATTACAGTTATTTGTCACCATGGCCAATCTATGACAGACGCCTTATAGTTAGTTTTTTTTTACACTGAGTCGAAGGAGTGTTTTTTGTTGGGATCAATTCTATTTATATATATATATATATCAAAATGGTACAAGAAACACTAAACCATTGACAAAGTCGATTAGTGATAGAAAACCTAACAGTTTTGACATAAAATGACTATATTTTTCCAATAAGTACAAGAAAAATCTATGTATCATAAGTATGTTTTTGTTAATAAGTAAACATGAAAACAAAAACCTTACAAAAAATCGGTCAGAAACAAAAGAACGTGTATCCAGCCCAATTGTTGAAAATATAATTAATATAGGTATTGTATTATATAATGTTACAACATATTGCATATGTGCAAGTGCAATGTGCATCATATTGTTATTGTAAATGTAAATCACGTCACCGCATATTTTTGTAACAGGGTCATAATAAGTTCACTTATATATTATAAAGGCGACCAAATGCACTCTGTAGGCACTGCACTATAGACAGTCTATAGTATCACTTATGTGTAGGTACGTCATGTATGTCTTGTAAGCATAGAACTTACATTGTTAGAAGACAATTTACTTTTCATACTTAGTTATAGTAAAATATTACTTAATATTAGATGATTGGATTTTGATGCAAAGGCATATTTTTTTCTGATCTTTTGAAACGTTGATCCGTAAGTATAAAATGTGTTTTGGGTGATACTGATTATTTTAACTTATTTTTTATTTTGCATTTGTAGTCAACATTTTCCTTAAATGCATTTTTAGGACATTTTTTGACGTTTTTAGTGCATTTTCTTAGTTTTTATGGCATTTTACACAATTTCTTCATAAAATGAAAGAAAACTATTGCCATTCATAAGAAACTTTCAGCAAACTGCCTACGGTACGAATATAATATGATACTATATTATATTGTAATTTATTTATATATAGTATCATTAGTATCATATATTCACATATTTCATCATAGCTAGGCTTTTTCCCAAAAATTATCACCGTTATATACCTATTATGAATTATTATTTTTATTACACACCATGCATTCATACGTAGGTACAAGTTATTGTCGATACTCGATAACAATTTTATCATAGCTAGGCTTAGATAACAGATAAGTATTACTGATACAGTGTAATAGCGATTTTGTTCAGGTTAGTATAAATAACAACTAGCAAAAACAAGTTAAAATATTAGAATTTTTTTTTAAATTATTATTTTAGAACGAATGATTAAGAAAACAGAAGCATAAAAACAAGTACAACTAAACAAGTAACAACGTAAACTATAAAAAAAAAAAACAAAAAAAATACATTACTGTAGTATAATTTAAAATTATTTCTCCAATTTTTAAGCTATAATAAATATAAATTAAATGCATTTTTTTAGTACATTTTTTGAGTTTTTTAAGTCATTTTTGCCTTTTTTGACATTTTTAGGGCATTAAAATCCTAGCCCTACTTGTTATTATTGTAACTAATTGTGTTGTTTATTCACTTTTGTCAATCCATACTATAATTCTCATTTAACACCAATAACATATTTGTGTAAACAAAAAAATTGTATTTTTGCAATTACCTGCTGGTACTAGTTTTGGTGAACACAAGTAGGTACATAACACAATGTTTATAGTACCTATACCTACACTATTTTTTTTCCTGTGTATTCAAGTCAATTTAATCAATATCCAATAATATTGGACCTAAACTATTGTACATATTGTATTATTTTATAATAATTATTAAATTGTGGTTTTACAATGTGTATTTTTCATGTATCTACTACTTATTTAATTATTTCCAAAAATATAAACCTATTCTTTGATAGGTAGTAAGTATTCTATATCATTAGTTGCTTGCTAAGTTGCAACACGTATAGTAATTAACAGTTATATTATTGCTTTGGTGAATGTCTAAAAACATATTTCTTGTAAAATAATTAAAGCAGCTTTACTTTTTGATTAATTGATCACTTCAAGAGTACCCAGGATAGGTTAGGTGACAGAATTGATATTTTGTTATTAAACTATACTAGCTATATTGGTGGAATTGATAAATTTAAATTCTAATCATAGCTTATTATTTTGGATATTAAGAACTTACACTTGTAAAATGTCTGTTAACCGGAGGGAATAACGTCTAAGTTCTGTGTGGTCGAGTAGCTCAGTGGTAGAGCAAGCTAGAAACTCGGTTCGATTCCTGATCAGGTGGCTAGATTTTTGGCGTTATTTCCCTGGGAGAAAGTTAACACACTTCTTATATTTAGTTTACTTCTGTTAGATAGTACTTTTTATATTGACATGTATTATAAATAAATAAAAAATATTAGCAAATTTGGATAGGTATATTAAATTACTTAATAATATAAATTATAAACATTATATAAAAAACAACAACATAATATAAGTAGATATATATTATCATGTAATTACTTGTCTTTATTTTACTCTTTAGTTTTACAGTAAAAGTTGGTTAATGTTATAATAATGTGTGCATAATATTAAGCCATGTATGATGTGATAAGAAAAAAAATTAAATATAAAAATATATACCTATATTGTTACCTTTGTAAAAGTTTAAAAGTATCCTCTCGCCCATCAAAACAAGGAACTTATCCTTAGTGTTGGGCGAAGCAATTTAATCACAAATATGTATATATCTTCTGTTTCAAACAATTATTGCTGAATAAAGTATTTATTATATCCTAAACACGGATCTATAATTTATGGTTGATTTGTTAACTACCCGTTTATTTTATTCTCAGGTATGCGTTCAAAATAATCACAACTTGCAGTAGTTGTATGACCCTTAGATTCTTTAGCCTTTGAATACTTAGTATAAAATATGTAAAATAAATTATAATGTGGCATAACTTTATTGCAGAATATGCTATAGTACCATTTTATTTTTTTTTTAAATTTTAAAGCATCCTTCTCCTTGACTTTCGGTTCCTTGATTGCTTCATGTTTTTTAACACGTTTTTTTAGATAACTAGTCAATATTTTTGAAAATTTATTTCTTTGTTCTTTTTTATTTATACTAAATACATATTTAAAAAAATTATAACACACTTTTACACCAAATTGAATTAAATATTTTTCAAATGATTCACACTTATGATCAGGTACTGATGGTATTTTAGGCTTGATTAAATCACATCCTCCTGATGTCTTCAATACATTTTTTTTCTTTGAGAAAGTTGTAAATGCATTATAGTCGTTTGAGTCACCACAATTTTGGGTTATATGTCGTTTTTTCTCCCCACTTAAGTGGCGTTTTAGACCTTTTCCTTCTGTGGTTGTAGTAAACTCTGTGGTTAGTGTGTATTGTTTGTAGTAGTCGTCGAGGGTTTCACAAATCCCTGCCATTTCTTCGATTTTTTTTTGGTTTTTTGCCTCATTTGTTGATTTACTCCTTTTGAAAGGATTTTTTATTCCTGTGATTTCATCAAATATAGATGTAAAGACCTAGATTTAAAATTTAAAAAAAAACAAGTTTAAATAAAATATACCTACTAATACTCTGTTCTAAAACAGAAGACACGGTTTCTGAGCACACCAAATGACAATATTAACCCAACGTAGACCAATGTTTTCCCTTTCCACCGGGCTGGAGGCTCTGATGTTTATCCCGGGCCGGTATTAAGTGCGTATCTTAATACGGTTAGGTTAGGTTGTGTAACTAATATCGTGTATTCTCTTTTGGAACAGAGTACAATTTAGGGACCCTACGACTACTTGATTTTAAGGAACATTCTATAGGCAACTTCGTATGCAGTACTCATTTGGACATATTATTATTAATATAACGAGTTTATGATTACGAAAAAACAAGGTCTCACTCGAATAACCTCCGGTCTAGCCCTCAAATTGCTCCCAGTTGTATTATTAAAATAATGTTATTCTAATGATTATCTCTCACATTAGATAGTTATACAAAAATTAAGAAATTACATTAGTTGGAAAAAATTGCAACGTTTTATACGTAACCGTAGATAGGTAAATAATTGTAACCCATGGCAATTAAAAAAATGTATAATATGCAATTTACCTACTAAACATGGTATGAATATATTATTTATGTATATGTAACCAATGGCAACCATAAGATATTAATTTTTCGTGATACCATTACTTACAATTAGGTACTTGTTGATATAAAAAAATTAACCTCAAGAACGACATAACTACATAAGATTTGTAATAATATGTGCCTATGGCCTGCGATGAGACAAAGCAATGTTCTTTTGTCTTTCCCAAATCTCAAAAGCGAGATTTTTTTTCTAATTTTAGTAGGTCCTCAAATTGCCCCCAATAAATATCTATAATAAACGATAGCTTACTATATAATATTAGTTAGATAGTTTTTATATAATTTCACTTTAAAGTTTAAACATTGATTTAATAACCGAGAAAAGACCCTTCCCAACGTAAACTTATTTGAATTTATTATAGGCAATTTAATTCAGGGGTAAACTGAGTGATTGATAGTTCGCTTGTTCTTAATAATAGTACCTATTAATTGGGTAATATTTTTCATAACATTATTTTAACTATTACAATTGTATCCTAGTTCATCGTATTATAGAAATAAATAAATAATTGATAGAACAATACAATATACCTAGTGATTTAAATTTAGGGATTTGGGAAGGAATTTGAGGTTGAAGTTTACAGTTACTTACATGACCCATAGCAGATTAAAATCACACATATAATAAGTTCCAATGAATAATTTTTTTGTATTATAATTTATAATACATAATGCTACTTGATAAGTTAAGTAGGTATCAAAAAGTTGTATGTATAATTAATGCAATTAATTGTTTAATTAGCTAGAAGTGAACGCCTCATAACAAAGCAATGTTGGTATGTGAAATGTTAAAAAAAATTGTTTTATACGAGCAAAAATCATTTGGTTGTGATATCTATTTTTTGATAAATATAACTAAAAGTAAAAAAAAAACAGGGAGGTCGCATTATTTGCTATAGGTAATAGCCAATAGGTATACCTATAGTTTGAAAACAAATAAATTGTGCACAAAAATAGTTTATCCTTATGGCTTATATATAGGTGCTATATATCATTTGCTATATTGTTTACTCTTTTTGGTAAGTGAAATAGAAAAAATAAAAACGATATTTAATAGTAAACCTTTTCTTTTTGTTAGGTGAAAATGTCGTTTCTTATCCATAACAGTAGCCTATTTTGTATTCAGCTTAATTCCGCGTGATACCGTTTGTATATGTAATTATCTACCTAATCCGTAATCAAGCAACATTCTTTTTTGCTCAAATGTTTAGCCAGTCTAGGCTAAATTACACCCCCATACGATTTGGGCCTACAGTTGGCTATTGATTTGTATAATATAAATTATTAATTATACCTAGTCAATTTGCAGTAACTTAAACTTTGTCTTGCCCCTTGAAGTGTTTATATTAAGTTTTATTTAAAGCACCTATATAGCTTGATACATTTTTAAGTTGAATTAATTTGCATACTCATTGAGATTCGACTAATCGAGACTGTTTATATAATACCTATGTATGTACTATATATGTATGTAATATATTTTTGTTCGTATAAAAAATATACTACTATCCAAAGATTAACAGAAATACCTACTTACCAATATTATTAGGTAGTTGATTTAATTTTATGCTGAGTAACATTTGACTAGTATTAAAAAAAAATATGTAATTTTATAAACTGAACGTATAAACATTAAATAGGTATATAATATAAAATAGTTATTTATTGACAATGACGTTAGTCAATTATTTTGTTTAAAACATAGTAATACTAGTAATAGGTACTGATATTAAAATATCAAGAGCTGAAAATGCCACTTGTTTAAATAATAAAAACATTATATAAATTAAAATGTATATTTATCAATATTTAGGTAAACACGCACAAGCACATGCATTTTATATTATATAGGTACCTATAATAGGTAGGTATATATAAAATATGCCTGTACTATATTCTGTGTACCTACTATATTATACTACTATATAAACTTATATTACATATTTACATCTGTACATACCTATCATTAAAAATGTCAAATAATTCTAAACAAAATTTGAAATGCAAATAATTTATTATTGTTATAATGTTATATGCACCTTATTATATGTATCATGTCTGCTAATGTTAATCTAAGCATAGGTATTTAGCATTGTGAACTTGACAGTTAAAAAGTTTAAATTGTGGATGGACTTTTAACAACATTTAAATAAAAACTTTGGCCTAACCTAACCTAAACTATAGATTACCAACATTTTAAATAACAAATTATTCACTCGTAATTGAAAGGGGGATAAGAAATGAGGCAAAGCACAAAATTCTATAGCCCTTGTAATAGACAAAGCCTTACAGTGGCTTTTTAAAGGCACATTTAAAGGGCGCATTGAAAGGGGGGGGGGAACTTGGGCAAATTCCCCGGACGCCAAATTTTAGGGGCGGGAAAATGTTTATAGTGAACAATACCTTTGAGAACTTTAAAAAAAAATATTACTTTTTTTTAAAACTACCTAACTAAAATGACAGCAATGGCAGCATATGACATATGGATATCTGCTGAGCTTTAAAAAATGAATACAATTCTGGAACTTAATTTTTTAATGAATGTCTTAATTTTGGCTGTTATTTAAAAACCATTTCCAATTCTCTTCCAAGTATATAAGACATGTTAGTGTTTATAAGAAAAAATGATAAAAACGATATCTTATAAACTTAAGAGTTAAGAGGTTAACTTGGGAGCTACACCAGCATGCGATCTCTACATCTTACAAACGCATAACATACCAAATTATAGATACGTAAAGTAGATCACATTTAGCAATAAATGTATTAATTTTACAATAATGTGTGTGTTTTTTTTTCTGTCTGGCATCATGGTTTAGGGCAGTCAAACTTCTTCGATTTTTTTCAAAAGTATCTTATTCGATGGAAAGTGAATCTAGTTGGTGCATTTGGGAGGTCAAAATTTAAAATTCTCAATAGTTTTCAAAAGTACCTGGAAAAACTACATAAAAATTATGGAAAAACTGGATTTTTTACGAAAAATCGGCTTTAGACAAAATCGATTTTGGTTTTTGCGTAACTCTAAAACAGATGAACGTATACATGAAATATTCACTGAACATTTATATTAGCATTTACTATACACCATCAAATATTCAAAATATTTTACTTGTTTTGAACTGTTTTTATGAATGTCAATACAATTTTATTTGTTGGGTAAAAAAGCTTGAAAATTTAATACAAGGCACTTAATATATTGTTATAATGACATTTGAAAAATATTAAAAATTCAGTCACAATTTTTTTTTCAAAATCATGTAAAGTTCGAAGGTTGACAAAAAGCTTAAAAATCACAAAAATGTGCAAAAAATTTGAGTTGGAAATTCTTAAAAATTTTTCTTTTTAAATCTAAAATTTTAAAATGTAATACAATATTCCTTATTAGTTTATCTATCTTTATCAAAAAAAATCTTTACCTAAGAAAGTTAAATTAAATTTTTATAGTTAGTGTAAGTTCAAATTTTTACAATATATGTTTAAATAAGTATTTTAAACAAAATAACGTAACAAATTTAAATAGTATGTAGTTACCAATATAAAGTAGACAAATATTTTTAAATTTCTGAAATTACACAGGTTCCTCACTTGTCCCACTCTCAAAACCATCACTGGGTTACTCATAAGTTGTCATTATATCAGTTCAACAATATTTATGCACGAATTTTATTGTATAATTTTGAAAAAATCATCAAATCGCTGAAATATGAAAATTATTTGTATGTACATAGTATATACTTGAAACTTTTAGACTTAAGGGTGTTGGTGCTGGTCATTAAGGAGTACAATTTAGGCAATTCAATTCACATGTCGTATCGGTCTCGCGCAGAACGCGTGAATGTGTGTGAGCATGTAAATCGATATTAGTATGAGTGAGGTATAATTACATACTCGCAGATAAATATATTTAGGAATATTTATTTTGTAGTTAAAAATTTATAAAATGTTCAAGTTTTATATCTAAGGATTGAAAATTTAAAACAAGATTCCACGTAAGTAGTTAATTTTGTAACCAAAAAATCTAAAAAATACATTAGCACAGTTTATTTTTATAGTCATTTTAAGTTCAAATTTGGATGAAATTACATAGAAAAAACCTAGAATAACTATTTTAGTTATTTCGTTGTGATTGTATAATATTATTCGTGGGTACTTGAAATTTCTAAAGTACACTATGTTATATCTATGATAGTATTAGGGTTTGTTATTGATGTATAAAGCGTTATAAATACCTAATGGATATTGTTATATGATTAATTTGGAATTTATTATAGGTACCTATTAGGTATAGGTCAATTTTTTGTTTAATACCATAGATAAGTATATAATATGCATTATACCTAGACTGACATACCGTCTCTGCTCAGAATCGTTTTTCTTATACAATGATATTATATAATTAAATTCAAATTTAATATCATCCATTATACAGTGACCTACTTGTAACCCACTGTACAGCAGAGCACCTTTTTATCTATAAAATTATTGTTAAATTTTAAATTTGATAAATTTTGTCAAAATTTGATCTATAAATGGTTATAAAAAAAAATTGTGCCTATGTATTTTTAATATTTTTCAAGTGTTATTGTAACAATATATCAGGAGCTTTGCATTAAATTTTCACGCTTCTTTACACAACCAATACAATTTTATTGATATTTATAGAAAAAAAAAATTTAAAAAAGGTGCTCTGCTGTACAGTAGGTTACAACTGGGTCACTGTATAATAGATAGTATTAAATAAATTTGAATTCAATGATATAATATCATTGGATAAGAAAAACGATTCTGAGCGGAGACTGTATGTCAGTCTAGGTAGAAGACATATTATATACTTATCTATCGTATTAAAAAAAATTTACCTAAAATAGGTACCTATAATAAATTCCAAATTAATCATATCACAATATCCATTATAGGTACTTATAAGTTATAATGCATTATACATCAACAACAAACCCTGATAATATCATAGTCCTTACTCAATAGATATATAATAGTGTACTTAAAAAGTTTAAAGTACCCATGAATAATATTACACAATCACAAGAAAATAACTAAAATATTTATTCTAGATTTTTTATGTAATTTCATCCATATTTGAACTTAAAATGACTATAAAAATAAACTGTGCTTCTGTATTTTTTAAACTTTTTGGTAACAGAATAAACTACTTACGTGGAATCTTGTTTTAAATTTTCAATCCTTAGATATATAAGTTGAACATTTTATAAATTTTTAACTACAAAATAATTATTCAATTTTAAATTTGATAAATGTTGTCAATATTTGAACCTTAAATGCTTATATAAAAAACTGTGACTAAGGATTTTTAATATTTTTCATCTGCCTTTGAAACAATATACTAGGAGCCTTCTATTAAATTTTCAAGCTTTCGCAACCAACAAATAAAATTTTTATGATATTTTTAGAAAAAAAAACTAAAAAAAAATGGAAAATGAAAATGTCCTTAAACAGTCAAAATAAATCAAAATATTTTGAAAATTTTATCGTGTATATAAAATGCAAATATAAATAACCAGTGAAAATTTCATGTATATACTTTCATTTGTTTTATAGTTACACCTAAAACAAAAATCGATTTTTTGGAAAACCAATTTTGTGTAAAAATTCCAGTTTTTCCTTAATTTTTCTTTTGTTTTTCACGGCGCTTTTGAAAACTACTAAGAAATTTTTACTTTTGATCCCCCCAAAGCACCAACTGATTCACTTTCCTATCAGAAAAGATACTGTTGAAGAAAATCCAAGCTCTTTTTCTTTTACCGTCCTAAAAGGTGATGACAGACACAAAAAAAAAAATTAAAAATTAAAAAAAACACACATTGTAAAATCAATACATTCATCGTTCCTAAAATTTATAAAATGTTCAACTTTTTTAGCTAATGATTGAAAATTTAAAACAAGATTCTACGTAAATAGGTATAAATTTAGGTATGTTAAACGTAGGTATATAATATAAATTACTTTATTCATCTTAGTATAATTTAATATACTTAGTAATATCATAGGCTGACTAACCGTTTTCGCTCAGAATCGTTATTCTTTTACAATGATATTATATCATTGAATTCAAATTTAATACCATAGGGCATAGATTATACAGTGACCCACTTGTAACCTACTGTACAGCTGAGCACCTTTTTTTTTATTGTTTTTTTTTTTTGTGTCTGTCATCACATTTTTGGACAGTAAAAAAGCTTAGATTTTCTTCAACATTATATTTTTTGATAGGAAAGTGAATCTAGTTGGTACTTGGGGGGGGGGGGTCAAATGTAAACATTTTCCAGTAGATTTAAAAATCGATTTTGGTTTTTGGTGTACCTAACTCTAAAACAAACGAATGAGTGTACTTGGAATTTTCGTTGGTAGTTTTAATTTGCATTTTCTATACACAGTAAAATTTGCAAAACATTTCGATTTGTTTTTAGCTGTTTATTAACATTTCCAGTTTCCAATTGTATTAGTCTCTTTTTCTATGAATACCAATAAAACTTTATTTGTTGGGTAAAAAAGCTTGAATATTTAATACAAGGCTCCTCTATATTGTTACAATAGTAGTTGA